CCTACAGCATTGCCCTGTGGGCCTGGCTGTGAGGGAGGTGGTGTGAGTGAAGTGCTGTGACTGTGGAGCTGTGTCCAGAGGGAGACGCTGGAGGCTGGGTTTTGGGATGTTTAATGATCCATTTTAAGTGCAGAAACGGATGTTTCTATAGCAGCACAGTTGCTTTCATAGATCTGTTCTTCCTGGCATTTGATGACATCTCAATTTAGCTACTGTGCACGTTAATGAGGAAATCAGCTGTCCCACTCTGTGGCTCTTTGACCTCATCTTCTGCTCTAGAAACAAGGCGGTGTTCTCCTGTCTATCACCTGACCACTGCAAGGATCACTTAAGCAGCGGTGCCTCAGGACCTGGGACACTACTCAGTGCCGTGTATAGGTAACTATGGCAGTTAACAAAGTGTACCTGTACTATTTCATAAGACTTAGCTCATAGCACTGTTATTTTTAGACATTCTGTTACGTTTAGAATCTGGGCAGTATTTCTCATTACTGCTTTTCTCGCCTTTAAATGCAGAGCACATGGAGGCCTTGTCTTGGTGAAGATAATCTGGAGCTCACTGGGCCAATAATGATCCAAGCTTCTTTTGTTTAAACCACGGCCTTACCATGAAGGCAAGTTCTAAAATTATTCCGTTGGCTACATTTTGAAAAGGTTAGGTTAGCCTTTTATATGTAATTAAAAAATTGTACTCCCTAGTATAAAATACACCAGCTTAGTGGAAAAGGAAGTGAATGTGGTATTAATAGTCTGGTGTTAGTCACTACAGTGTGTGCTTACAGCAGTGCACAAAAAGGAACTGAGTAAGAATTGCTGTTCTTATCATGAAGTCTTAGACTGCAAATAAATAAGTATATGTCAAAATACATTTTAAAATGTTCTTCCTGGCAGGAACTTCCATAGGTATTTTGGAAGTGGACATTTTCCTTTCGCTGCCCCTTGCCCTCAGGATGCTGATATCTTTTCTTCAACAGCAACAAAATTCTCAGGAGTCCTGCTAAATATCTTTCTTGTTTTCATTGGGGAGGGAAAGGGAGAGAGAAAAGAGATGGAAAAAGAAGAGGGAGAAGGAAGAGGGAAAGAAAAAGGAGAGAGAGTGCGATGGTGAGAGGGAGAGAGCAATGCAGGTTCTGTCAAATGTTGACATCTCTTGGTGTTCTGTAGTTAAACCCTAAACAAAGTTAGACCATAGAATCACACAACAACCCGGGTTTCAAGGGGTCTTGAAAGATCATCTGGTCCAGCCTTTCATTGGAAAGGCAGCCTAGATGAAATTAGCCCTTTGTTCAGTCACATTTTGAAAACCTCCAGTGATGGTGATTTTGGCATGTTTTGTTAGGAGGTTGTTCCATACATGATTGTTCTTACTGTAAAAAATGTCAAGATGAAAGAGGGAGAACCCATTGCCAGAAGGATGAAAGATGGAGAACCCATTACCAGAAGGATGAAAGATAGATAATCCATTACTGGAAGGATGAATGATGAAGAATCCATTACCAGAAGGAGGCTGCTTCATTCTCCTGGTACCGTAAAGCCTTGATTGTCTAGAGGATTTGTCTTGGAGAATAATGCTGTTGTGTGCCACAGGCAACCACTGCCTCAGTTTGGTTCATCTCTCAGCATGTCTACAGAAGAGTGTTTAGACACAGCCTTAATTCCCTAATGTAGGAGTCACTACAGCTGAAGAAAACCCTTCTACAATGAATTCTTAACGTACTATTTAAGCTTTGAAAGCAAATGGAATTTGAGTCAAAACAGTAGTTGCCTCAGACTACAGAAGCCTGGAAGTCCTGCTCCTGAACTTGCTGAGTTTTGCAGTATATCCCAAAAAAACAATTGCTGTCATCAGAGCAGATCAGTTCAATTATTTTGCTGCAAAATACCTGTTTCTTATACAATCTATGAGATAATACTTAAGAAGTAGTACAGAAAATTAACATCTTGACATCCTTGGACTTCAGGTCAAACCCATATACTACTTGGATTCTCCAGTAGCACTGTGATAGGTTTTCTAGAAGTCACCTTACTCAGGTAGACCTTTTGCCATCCAAATTTTCTGAAAGAAATGACACCAATGATAAGACACTCAAAAACATTTTAATGTCTTTTTGAAAAATATTAGTGTATTTACACAAATCTCTCATTTAAAAGTATTTTGTACTTGCTTGTTTTAAAACACCTGGTTTTAAAAGAAAAAAAGTTCAGCCAGATGATAACATAAATTTGAAAGAACTTTGTCTGTAGATATGAGCAATTAAAAAATACAACAAAGAAACACCATTGCATTAACACTAAGTCAGTGCACAGTTGTAAGTTGCTGGCTTCTACAAATTGTTCTTCCCATAAAAATTGCTTAGTCTGTGTTAGTAACTTTTACATTGGAATTTCCATTTCCTTTTTCCTCACAGAATCCCCCACCCCCCTTTTGCTTATACAAAGGTTGCAATAAAATGCATTACAGTAGTATTCCATTTACAAAGCAAATGACATTAAAACTTGTTTCTTAACCCATTGGATTGTATTTCAGTAAACCAATGTCCTTTCATGGAGGTGCAGCAGAGATGACAAAAGCTGTCTGGATGTGGAGAATGAGCTCTTTTTCAAAGCAGTCCTGCCTGGAAAGGTTGAGTTGAATTGCTGCATGATGCTGTGTCAATTCCTCGTTGGAGGGATCGTATCTTCAGGTTTGGCAATTAGGATAATATGTAAAACATTGTATTTAGTCAAAATAAATACAAATAAGTTAAAAAAAAAAATGGAAGAAAATTATTTTCTCATTGATATTGCTTGGAGGAAAGCTTAGCAATGAAGCTTGTGGCAATATCTAGATTACACATGATTGGCAGGTCCATTTGTTTCAATAGTACTCTCTGAACAAGGTAAAAACAGCTGTGAACATGGCTGTAATTTTGGAGAAAGACAGTAGTGATCTTCTTTCAAACTTCATTAGGAAGCCATTTTCCTATGGAAAGGAACATGCAGAGTTAGGGACAGCTTAAAAATAACATGTAGGAAAAATGCACCACTTGACTGGTATCAGGTGGACAGAGTGCGACACCATGCTGCATAGAGGGACAGGTTTTCAGAGCTCTACCTTCAAAAGATGAATAGGGCTTTAAAAGCAGTAGCTGAAAATAGCTGCACCTTGCAGAATGTTTATTTCCAAGTCAAGACTGTGCCTTGCATGTGTAAATAGAAAATGAATATGAACTGTATCATCTGGGCCCACATCTTCAAGGAAGATACAAGTACTCTGTTTCTGATGTAGTAATATACTTGTAACTATCTTCCTTTAAGCCTTCTTAATCTACTATGATGAAACAGTAGAATATGACAGAATGTTTCCAGGAGTTGATGCTTGTCTTAAATAAAATTGACTCTATTTGAAAGAGATGGAGAAAGAACCCTTTACAGTAAACCTGATGCATCAGGGGTCCATTGTCACCTTTTTTTACTGCTACCAGACAGAGAAGGGTCAAAACAAGCAAAAAGAAAAAATGAAAAGCAAGACACTAGAAAATAAATAAGGGGAAAAGTAATAGCAAATAAGAAATGGAAGAGAAGTGGGACAAGAGAGGGGTGGAAAGGGAAAGTAACATTTACATATAGAGAAAGGAAAAAAAGTATCAGGGAAATAACTGACAGTGATGTCACTGATTCTCAACTTCCCCTAACTTCAAATCAAAACAAAATACTGACATGATGAAACTCTGCAAAGCAAAAAAGACCTCCCCTTCACTGCCAGGAGGGAATTCCAGCAGCTTGGCAAAATAATCCACGTTTTGACAAATGTTTCCCTCAGCATTGACTGTTGATAGATGGAAGATGTAGGATTATCTCAGTCCAGACAGAAAAGATTTAACCCTGACTGCACTTACCTGTGAATTTCTTTAAGTAAAACTGATTTGGGGAATTAAATAATGGCTTTGCAAAAATACTGAGTTCAGCTGTGAGGATCACATGTGTATTCTTCCCTTACTTTGAACTCCAGTATTTTTGTACCAACTCCTCCATGGAAGCAGAGTTGCTGCACTAACCTCAGTGTACCACTTAAGTTTAGATTTAATGATGGGATTTTTCATGCCATGCAGGCATTAACCTGCTTTGAGCAGGAGGCTGGATCAGATGATTTCCTAAGGTCCCTCTCAACCTGAATTATCCTATGATCCTGTGATTCAAGACTAACTCTAGGGTTTTGGTGTTACAGGTACAGAAAGTGCCATTTTAAAAAGAAAGTTATGTTTTAGCTTTGTTCTATTTAAAGCAGAAGCAAAGCTTTTACTGTATGTCTCAAGGAAACATTCCAGACATCAAATATTAAAACCACCAAATAAAACCTTAACAATGGTTTTGATGGTGTCTTTAACAACAGTTTCTTTCCCTTAATGAAACAAAATCTCCTAATCTAGACTTTGGTGGAAAATGAGAAACTTCCCCAGCCACCATTCGCATCTATCCATTCGGCTTTGTTGTTTATTATGTACTCTGTGATGAAATAAGAAATCTGCTCCTTTTCCTCTCCAGTGAGCTGAACTCCATGCTCTTGAAGCTTCTTAGTGAGAAGACCTCCAAATGTAAATATGGTCATAATTCGTCCCCAGTTAGTATTTCCATCAGCAAATTTTTCTTCCATGACACCATTGAAAATTCTCTTGGCTACAGCTACAGAGGTAACGTCAATCCTGTCCAGGAATGGTCTGAGAGCCTCTTCAGTTTGATCTTGCAGTGAAGATGCAATGTTTCGCAAGACATGAGCAACTCTGGTTTGAGCTGGTCCACGATGTGACTCCTGAAGCACATACTGCAGATAATCTTGAGCTAAGTAATAAACGTAGTAGAAGTCAGCAGTTTCCATTTAGAACAGAATGCAGAGAGCAGTGCACTGCTCTTGACCAGGCTCAGTAATGAGCAGCCACAAGACATGCACACAGCTTTGTATCGTCTGGTTTTGATGGAATTTTTTTTGACTTAACAATAGTGTGGGTTGTGGAATATGTCACAGCGGAAATGAAAGAAAAAGTGTGTGCTCAAGGGGAGAAACATGTCTTCCTGAGAGATTTATTAGTTCTCTAAATAGATCAGCTTTTTACCATATTCTTTAGCAGTATAAATTGGCATTTCCTAGGGACTTTTGCTATGTAACACTAGCAAAAATTTGGCATTTGGCTTACAGAATTCTGAGAATGGTGTATGCTAGCAAAAGTTTGGCATTTGGCTTGAAAAAACGTACCTAAACAGTGTATGCTATAGGAGCATGCAGCCCCTTCTCCCTCCCAACTTCCCTTCCCTTAGTCTCTTCACTGCCAGGGGTTAAAGCTGCAATCTGTATTGCAGGTTAATGGTTTATTTCTGGTTCACAGCTTTTTGAAGATACTGGTAGATATTTCTGATAGCATGGAAGAATGGATGAACTTCCTTCAGCATTCAGGGAGCTTTGCATAACTGCAAGAAGTGGTACAAGTATGGATGGAAAAAAGGGGAAAGCCAGCTTTATAGCATTGTCCCCTGTTCCAGACTTTCGCACACTGTCTCGGTGAGTACTCTTCAAAATTTGAATGGGTAGCTTTAAAGATTCCCCACCCCACCTCAGGGAGTTCTGCTGTAAAAAACAGTCTGAAAGACAATGCTAATGCAGTCAGCCTGTCAGAACATGGGCTGGAAAATACGGGGCCATGGTAGTGATGTGTGATACCATTTGAATCTTTCTTTGCAGGTACAAGTATCATGATACCTACAACAACTGCTCTTTGATTAACATTTTCAAGCAGTTATTTCTGGGGAGAAGGGGCAGGTGTATCTAGCCCAACTCTTCCCTTACAGCCCTCTTCTCCTGAGGCAACCTGATCTTGCTTAAGGGGTTAGGATGTATCTGCAGAGAACCTCAACCCACTGCAAAGGGGTGGTTAGAGCAAACTGATAGGCTTTGCACATACTGGCGTCAGTAGAGTGCTAACCCTAGCTAGCCCCCCCATTCCCCAAAGGGCATGCTGCTGCAGAAAACCCTTGAGCAGACCAGGGTGGTTTCCAGTTCCTTCTCAGGGTTTTTTGGTGTGTGGTGAGTGACTCAGAGTGACACAGTAGTCTTCCATCCACAGCAGGGTTTGAAACCTCAAGCTATCACCAGCATAGCACAGACATCAATCACTTCAGTGACGCTGGAAATCACTTCCCTCACTTTCTTATGGAAGCAAAGAAAGAGGTTGCTTGGTGCTGTGTTCACCTTTGGGAGAGAATGGGTTTAGGAGGGCAGTGTGAGCTGGAAAAACTCAGTTCAGGAAAGGATGCGATGTTAGGACTGGGAGTGGGCTGGGGGTGGGAAGCTCACTCTCCCCTTTTCTGTACACACGTGCATTCTTACCCAAGCTCGTTTTCAAAGTTCAGAGGTGTCCTCTATCCAACACCTGCAGCTGCTGCTTTGGCAGAGCTGAGGCTGGCTTTGCCTTTGTTATGTTCAGTGATTTCAGCAAACTGCCAACATTTTATGAGGAATGCAAATGAAAAAATAAAAAAAAAGGATGTGACAGTCTTTAACTCTTCCCAACCCAGCTAAATCTGGGTAGAAATTTCTGGGGCACAGGGAAGGCGTTGCTCTACCCAGACCACTTCCCTCCAGTCATATATGCTTGCTGCAAACAGGGCTGAGAAACATACTCGGGGAAAGAAATCATAAGCATCCTTTTTCTGTGTAGCACAGTCTGTGAAGTTACAGATCACGCCTGGCTCTCTTAATAATTGATTAATGAAAACCTTTTGTATTCTTTGTGAATATAAGTAATAGTTGAATATGAGAACAGTGAACAGTACCTAAGGAGACAAGTTTTGGTTTTTTCACCATCAACAGAGGCAGAGCACAGGCAGAAGCAGATACTTCTTCATTAGTGAAGCATTTTGGATTCTGAGAAGGGTAACAAAAGAAGCCTATGAATATGTCACTATTATTGAAAGAAATCAATGTAAATACCTTGGCAGTTTTGGTGCAAATGCTCTCACTTACAGTCTCTAGATCTCTTAAAGGGTGCTAAGGTGAAGCTCAGTGCACAGCTCCCAGAAGGGGGTGGCAGCTCTGAGCAGACATTCCTAGCAGCAAGCTGTGACATTGGTGACCAGAGCTCAGGATGTGGCTGTTGAAGTTGCCCCAGGTCTATCTGCTTCAATGTTAGACACAGTTGCTTTTCAATAGCATGTAGTGGAGGGTGCACTTCCAAGCGTTGGATGCTGAGGTTTAGAGTTGTGTAAAGGTTAGAACAAATGATCCTGGAGGTCCATTCCAATCTGGTATTTTATGATTCTGTGAGTAGCAGTGGCAGTTTATTTATCTGTATATACACATAAAGAGTCGGACCAGAGTGCATAGCCCAATCTTCCCAAGCCCTAATGGTCAACTCTGAGCACTGTAGGAAATGGCCTTTGGGATCTTTTCCCTGTATTGTGCCACTGTAACACTCTGATTCTCATTTTCTGCATCAGGCAGTGCTTTCCATTCTCCTACCAGACTTTATTCATGTTTTGTAGTTCTAAGTGAATACCTTCAATTTAATGAACCTCTACTTATCTTCCTACCTGCTCTATCTCCCCAGTGCTGCATGGACTGTAGCCTCTCATACACTGTATTGCTTCCTCCCTATTTTCCTCTTTTCTGTATACACTTTGTATTTTATAAGTATTAATAAAAGGTTTGAAACAGAAACCAGCTTGACACAGAAACTCAAATGCAACCCCTCCCCTCCCTACCTGGCAATATCAAGGGGCTTCCAATGCTTTAATTTAAGTCTGCGCTCTGTGGATTTGATTCCACATCATACTCTAACCTGAAAAAGCTTATTTTCCAGAACAGATGGGAACTTGGTTGACAGATCCTCATAAAATTGACTTGTGAGAGACAATGTTATCTCATCATGTTTGAAGCAAAACTAAGCCAAAATGACAAAAGCTTTGTTGAGCTATTGGTGCTGCATCTGCCTTGCCAGAGTTGTTCCAGTTCCAGGTGAATGTGGGCACTGTGAGCCTTGTCTGGAGAAGCAATCTGAGGCCTCTTAAAAATTATCACAGATTTTTTCTGGGTTTCTTCCCTTTTTGATGTCCAAACCAGGATGATTTTTTGGTGGTTTGGTTGGAATTCAGTGCAAAAGAACGGCTCAGTTCACTTGTAGGTTTCCAGCTGTCCTGTACAGCCCTGATACAAGGCTTTCTGAGGCTTTGTTGACTTTTATTTACCCTCTATTTTCCTATAAATCGGAATATGTAAGCTGGTTTTCCTGTGAGCTGGGATGGTCGGTTGGTACTGAATCCAGAGGCTTGGTTGCCCAGTGGAGTGCTGCCACCTAGTCGCAGCCGGCCTGGATGCACGCGTAGAAACCCGTTACCTCCAATACAAGTTCAAGTCTGTGCTTTGAGGTTCTTTATGCAGCAAAGAACTAAAATACAACAGGATTGGGACTCATTCCCGGTAATAATCTAAATTAATAGATGATACGTTGTTTCCCAAAGAATTCTGTCAGCTGGGGAGCACCAGTCTCCTGTCCAAAGCTTGGAAAGGTCATCTCCATAAGAAGTTTTAGGAGCAGTTTATTCAAAATCCTTTCAGTCCATCTCCTAATGTTTATAGGATGTAGCCTAAATAGCAGGATCCTGCATCTCAAATTCTGTGGCAACTGAAACAGACACTGAGAGCCATCTTATATTCTGTGCATCTCGGGGATGCACAGAAGACAAGCTCCAGAAAGGACAGGAGGATGTAGCTGGTTTTGCATCTTCTGGGCCAAGTGAAATATTCTGGGCCAGTTGGAGACCCAGAGTGGTCCCCAATGTAAACTAAAGCAAGTAGCTACTCCAGCTTACTGTTGAACTGGGTTGCAGTCCAGAATGAGGGCTGAGCAACATGGCCTAAGTTCTCTCCTGCTCCCAGAAATACCACGCAGCAAAGTCTGGGAGGATGCACACTCCATTGGCTCAAGCACGAGAATAATTCTCTAAGAGGCCATTCTGCTCACCTTATGACTCCTCTGTAACGCTCCAGTGACATACGGGGAGCACAGGAAGGGTCCAGTTGCGCTGTGTTACTCAGGGCTCAGCTGCTGCCTCGTCACTTCCTCTGATAACTCAGAACTTGGCAGCTTCTGGATCCCAGCTCCTCTCATCATCACGAGTCAAGGGAGCAGCCAAACACACCTCTCCACTATGCATGTGCCATGTGTCATCATATGCTTGTGTGTTCTACATACATGTTCTACATTCTCCTAAGCCTGCCCACGTGTTTATCTGGGATTAGGAGAATTTGGACCAATAGTCAACTGTCAGCAGTGAGCCACAGAAATGTAAGGCTACCTGAGCTTCCCAGACAATGGAGCATGAACAAGTAAAGTCTTGGTAGAAGCTTAGCAAGATCTTGCAGATGCCAGCAGAAAGCACTGTCTGCTGAAGCCAGCTTCATTGCTGAAAATACTTGTGCCCAGAAGGAAAAACCCCAAAAGATCTGCTTGTGAGTATTTGTGAAATAAGAAGTCAGGAGCTGATGTCTTGATATGATAACCAAAACCTTGTGTCTCCCTCGCACCCACAAGTTAAGGGTGGTCTTGACTGTTGGTTCATTCTGCTATGGCAGGCACAATGCTAATGTGCAGACTTCATTTGTATATTGATCTGCAGCTTTGGTTCAGGTCTGCATCTTCCAAAGGTCATCAGGAGAGACAGGCATTCAACATCAGCTGCACCAGTGTTTTAAAGCTACTTTAAACTGTGATGATATTAAAAACGTGGTGAGACAGCATTTCAGTAACATATCTGAGCCTTACTTAGCATACAGAGAGTCCCACTGGATGAGAGTTTCAAAATATGATCAAGATTCAGGTAACAAGT